ACTTGTCTAATTTTTCAATTCTCAAGCACTTTCGATCCTAGCGAAAAGCTGTGGAGCACGTGACGGCAAGGCACAAACCCATAAGTTGTATAGTCGTATTGTTATTTCTTGACCCACACTAGTGACTTCAGCATTAGCTGAGTGACAAAAATTTAAAATCATTCCGTACGATCTGCTGTATGAATTGGTCATCGTGATAAACCCAGTAAATGCCGTAAAAATATTCAAATTTATGACATCATTAATTTTTTTATACTTTTTTGAGGATCAGATTACCCCGCAGCCATGAAAAACTCATATTTTTAACGTTAAAATAAATTGGTAATTCGAAATAAATTAAGAATGTAAGTTGCACCTTATTTTTCACACGAAAAAATGATCGGTGAATATGTATAGAACACTCGTGATGATAATAATTTATTAACTGTATGAGATTTTTAGAGGCTTAAACAATGATAATAAATTTTAATTGTTTTTTATTTTTACTTAATCATAATATAATTATTTAATGATTGTCTAGATAAATTTATAGCACAAGGTACATTAAAATGTACCTACAAAATCATGTTCAAATTTCATGCGCTTGCCATCACTAGTTCTAATAATAATAGACAGGTTTGAATATTTGTTTAGAGTTAGAGATGCAATCTGGATATCCTCTAATTTAATTTTATAACGAAATTATTATAAAGAATCCTTAAATAAAAAATTGATAACGGATCGCATCTCTAGTTTAAAAGTAGCTTTTATGTAATAAAACGAGTAATAAACTAATAATTTGAATGGAGTCTACAATAATAAACAGGCAATAATATATAGTAATTTATATTTAATTAGTCTAACAGCCCGTCCAGTCATATAAATAAAAAATAACTATTAATTAAAATAACTATGAGTTTTTCTAATGATTCTTCAGATTCTTCGATTTTCACATAGTAAATATATGGAAATCGTTGTGTTTATACGTTACATCTGTAAATACAATACTTTCTTTTTTCATTGTCCTATGATATAACGCTAAATTATTTCAAACGTAAAGACTTTTATATAAACGGCGTGTTATTGCGTAATTTTTAGGGGGAAATGGAGGGTTAGCAATTTATCACGTCAATATATCGAATATGAACACTATGGTTGACTGCTGATTTTATCACCTAGGGGCAGGATTGGCAATGAAACCAATGGAGTTCAATGGTTATGCGAATGGTGCTCAAAATCCAGTATCCATTAGCTCCATTAGAGCTCCATTGAGCTCCATTGCCAACTCTGCCTAGGGGTGGTACCGTAATAAAAGAAATTACGTATTAAACGGCATACCCTAAGTGTTTGCTATGTGTGTTTTATCGTTTGAATAATACAAGTAGGAGCACATATTATGATACATTTTTGTTTATGAGTTGGGACAGCTTGGCGCAGACATAAATGCATGTGTTAGACATATTTAGATAACTAACGCTAATTATTTATGACAAATTGGCATAACGATAACATACGTAAATGGATATGTTAGACGTATTTGGTTGTTCTTAAAATCCGCCATTTACATACATGCGGTATAAATTTAAAGGAGGTGGAAATTAAAAAAATGTCTAAATATGTCTATTTAAGTATTAAAATGGTGTGACAGCATTCATTTACGTACAATACTTTAAATTGTGCAAATGCAACTATAAATAATTATAAGAAACCTGGGTATATGCATGACTTAATACCACCCCTCCTACTAAGTCTAGAGATATTCCGTCTATTTATTAAACTAAAACCTATATCCGAAACTTTATAATCAGCAAAATCAGCTCACCCATCCAAATGAATTAAAACTTAATAAAACCTGTTATTTGTTTTAAAATTGGTAAAAATGTAATAAACCCGGGCCAAGCATTTAGCTATTATTTATGTCTTCAATATCGTCATAAGCCTTCACACACATGATAATTTTGCCGTTTACAAACAGGTTTTGAATTCTAATATGAAAAGTGTATGCACAAAACTGATTGAAGTTATTGATGAATTTTGCTATATAACAAGTTAAAAAGCCCTTTCTGTACTTTACAAAATTCTGTTGTTCAATATTACAGTATTTTGACACGAATACAATAATTCAATATGACTGAAGCAAAAAAACATGTTATTGTGAAGCCTTTCGGTGAGTTAATAAACAAAATTTCATTTTCATTAAAATGATCTATTAAGAATTTTTTTAATTTACTTATTAGACAAGGTTGAACTCCGTTTACCTGTCGAAGTGTTAATGTCTAATCCTACATATAAGAAACGAAGAGATTTGTTTCTTCAAGGTTTTGCTGTGGTTCAAAGTCGTGATGCCAGTGATCCTAAATCTTTTTATGCAGTTGCTGGTATTCATGGTCTTCCTTACGCACCTTATGATCTATTGCCTGGTGAAAAAATGTCACCTAGTGATTGGAACAAGAGTGAAACTACTCGCTGGGGTGGCTATTGCCATCATGGTGATATACTTTTCCCTACTTGGCATCGACCATATGTTTTATTACTCGAAATGCTTATTTATGAAGCAGCTAGGAATATTATATACGATGACAAAGCTCAAAAGTAAAAGATTTAACCCTTTTTTTGTTCTTAAAATGCCTAAAAAATTTCTTATTTATTTCTATTTCTATTTCATTTAAAAGTTATCCAGCAGGTTCAGAAACTGATGAATATAAAAAAGAAGTTGAAAAAATTCGATTGCCTTACTGGGATTGGGCCAGTCCATCTACACTTACTAATGGTGTACCCTCAGTCTTATTTGATGAATATGTTTATATTGATAACCCTACTCAAAAAAATGTTCGAGCTCGAAATCCTCTTCGTGCATACACTTTACCAGTAGATCTTGGAAGCTTAACACTTGTTGGTGATGTGTCTAATCCAACGCAAAGACCATATAGTCCAGATGGAAGCACTACTCCTTATACACCAAAAGGATATGCAACAGTCAGACATCCTGATAGCAATTATATTTCTAGTCCAGATACAACCGGCCTTAATGTTGTAACTTTCTGTAGTTCTGTATTTCGACCAGTTCTTTATCAAGTTTTATTTGTTAATAAATGGCGTCAATTCAGTAATCATGGTGATGGTGAGAATGAACCTAAGGATGAAAATTATGGTCATTATTCATCAATTGAAGTTGTTCATGACGCTGTTCATGATTCATTGGGAGGGGCTGGTGGTCATATGTCATATGCTGACATTGCTGGTTTTGATCCCATATTTTTCCTTCATCATTGTAATGTGGATCGACTTATTGCTATTTGGCAGGCATGTCATCCTGATATTTGGATCATTGGAAATTCATACACTGAAGGCACATTCACTCAGCCAGTTGATAAAAATATTGATGAAAATACTGATCTTACACCATTCAGAAAAAGTGAAACAACTTATTGGACCTCAAAATTAGTGAGGTACGTAAATGTTTAATTAATATATTAAAATTCATTGTTAATTAATTAAGTAAAATCTTTTTTCTGTTCGAAATAGAAATATTAAAACTCTTGGATATACTTACCCTGAACTTGAAAAAAATTCTCAACCACGCGAACTTTTACGTGGTATGCTTAGTTATTATCATCCAACCTTATACCTGTGAATATTTTTTTATATATTGTATATAATTTTTTTTTTAATAAGTAAATTAATTAAACTTACATTTACAAAATCAAACAGGCAATATCATTGGAGGCTTACCTTAACTGTTATGAAAAATAAAGTTGGAGCTCCATTTCAAATTCGTGTTTTTCTTGATTTACCAACCGCGAACGCTTCAACCCCTATCAGCAGTCCAAATTTTGCTGGTCTTATATCAATTTTTGCTCGTGGCAAAGAAACACAATGTGCTAACTGCTTACGCAATTTTAACGCGGTGGTAAATGGTAATGTTGACCTTACTTCATGTATGGAAAGGTTATTTATTGATACAAATCCGGAACCTAGTGGTGATGTGGTTGCAAAAAGCTTGGAACCCAGTCAAATCACTCTCGTTCCCGTTTTAAAAGATGGAAGTGGAATCAGTCTTGAACAAGCCGGTTTAATTTCCGCTCAGTATTGGGTATTTGATGAAGGTCCTGAATTTGACCTAGATTACGAAAATTGGACCAAGAAATTAATGGGACAGGTCTATCCTCCGCAAACGAGCCAGTAATCCCAATAGGTAAAAAATTTTAATTTATATTTTAATTAACATTCACTAAATGAAATAATAAAATTATTTATTACAAACCGTATAAATTGTAAATATAGAAACTTAACAGTATAGCTTACTTTCACAAGTGAGCGTACCATTAAACACCTGAAAATTTTATTCGTAGAAATTATGATTAAATAATTTAAAGAAATATTTATACTTACTAGGATTATGTAACTATTTAAATACAAATAAAGTTTCATAAATTATGACTGGACTGGCCATATTTTTTACTTATAAATTGATAAACCCAGATGATAATCAAATCCAGGAGTTAATATCTTAAAAGTCACCCGTTAATTATATAAATGGAATAAACTAGAACATGATCATGCAGGCGGTTTTGCCGCCTGTTTTAATTATTGAGGAATAAAATGATAAAGTGTAGCTTGATAGTAAAGATTCACAACTTGAATAATCTATTTCAAATACCTCAGTTTATGAATATTTATTTTTCACTTACATACAGTACACTCACATAGTAAAATTAAATAAAATGAATTCAAATTTTTTGATACCTAAATGCCTTATCTATTTTAATTGGTGTAAATAAAACAAAGTTAATGAAGTTGTACAAGAATTCACGAATTTAACGAATACTTAATTGAGTAAAATTAACGTAAATAAAATAAATATTCGATAATTGGCTTAAAATTGGCTTGCACAAGATGCACATATGCAAGTATTTTTTTTTGGATTTTTAAAAAATCTCTTAAGTGTGCAAGTAAAGCTTTTTAAAAAGTTGCACAAAATACATTTGTGCAAGTGATTTTTTTTTTGAAATTTAAACACTGAGCGGAGCGGGACTCTGGATTTTTAATATATAATAAATTATTAATCACAGACAAGGTTTGTTTTACAGACACAAACAAGTTTATTTCATAAACAGTATATTTTACCAACAACTCATTTCACAATTTTTTTAATAAATTACATTAACCTTAAGTGGTATGCATTTTTATTCCAACGATAATGATCAGAATTGCTTTGTATGTGAAATAAGCTGTCGTAAAAATATACTGTCCATGAAATAAACTTGTCTGAATTAATAATCGGTAAAATAATTTGTCTTAAATTAATTATCGTGAACTAAGCTGTCTATTAAGTGATTATCGGTAAAATAATACAGACCCATAATGAATAATGAACGATAATATCAGTGAATAAATCAAATATCTATAAGGGCCCAAACCATCTTACCGATACTTGATTTATCATTGATTTATAATACCATACCAATAATTTTTTTGCATACTTTAAGATAATAATTTATTTCAATCGGTTTCCTCTATTATCATATAAAACCTAAAATGACGAAATGATAAAACTGATGAAAGTGATGAAACTAATGAAAAGTAAACTGATCAAAGGTGGCAAAGCTGACAAAAGGTGTGAAACTGACAAAAGCTAACAAAACTAATGTATTCAAAAATGTGTACGTACTAGGTTTGCACGATAATAAAACAGCAACAAGTATTTTATCTCATGAGTTAAATTGCTTTATTTGTGTAAAATAAAATGAGGCTTATAGAACAGGATTCGAAAAATAAAAAACAACTACGTGTTCTTTCAGCCTCATAGTATAATACAAATCACATGTTTGCTTAGTTTGGCCACATTTTATGGTCACGAAAATTAAATCGAAATTGAAGATGAACAAATCCTTTCTAGAGAACTTTGATAATCTAAGATTATCAAATAATCAAGCCAGCAAAAAAAAACAGAAGAAAATTGAAGTAAGTTCAAAACCCTCCCACATTTCATGTTACAATTCAACGTAATCGTACTGGTACAATATGTAAGAATAGGTAAACAGTTAAAAAATTGATACTGCTTACATATATTTTACAAATTTTTTCAGCTGTGCTAGAATTCACGAAAAATATTTGTCTGTTTCACTTTGCTCAGCCTCTTTTCTATATTATGCATCATAAAGTGATTGTCAATTTTCTTTTCTATAAATTCCAGCCTCACTTCGCTCGGCCTCTTTTCAAACCCAGTTCTATATTTTGCGTCATAAAGTATAATCAATTTTTTTTTCTTTCTATAAATTTCGGCCTCGTTCAAACTTCACAATACACGTCATATCGCATAATCATGTTTCGTAACTAGAAAATAAATATTTGTAACACCGAAATACCCGAGATCAAAAATTTATCGAATTCGGCAGAATTACAGCTGTTTTCATAAATTCTGGGACACCCTAAAAAATTTGCCGAAGTCTATTCGGCCGAATTTGATAATTTATTGATTTCGATATGATTAATGCATGATCAGTATATAAAAAAATTATTGAGTCACTATTACAGCACATTGTTCGATCAATATTATATTGCATTCGCAATGTCAACTCATTCAACACTTATTTAAAAAAAATATTTTTTTTTGCCTTATCCAATATGTACGATACAAAAATTTATGTCAAAAACTGTTCTTGCCAATTAATAGATATTCGCTAAAAATAAGTTGGCCTTTCTTAATAAACATATAACAGCTTAAAATTTAAATGATCTATAAATAAAAACAAAATTTTATATTTCAATTTCGTTTTGTGAATCTTTTTATTATATAATTATCTTTGGTAACTTATAGTATAGCAAACTTGTTTATTGTATCTATACAAAAATAAAATTGAAAATTTGCCTTTTTAATACATAACACTCCGTATTACATGAATAGGCACTAATAAAAAAAAGTTTAAATACGATCAGGGGTTGTAAAAAAATGCAGCACAAATTAGATTTTATTAATATTTGTCGACAATGTCTTAATAATTATAATAAAGTTCAAGGTATGTATGTTTATTTAAAGTGATAGTAATTCATACCTTTGAAATTGCTTGAGAACTCGACCCACGGAAGACCTGTTAATACTCAGACGTTTAGCAATTACTCTAACTTAAGCCTTCTAAGTTCTTTTAACTATTTTCCAACGAATATGTTTAGTAACAAATACATATGTATTATGCATTTATATAGCACCGAGATAAATAGTTTATCAAATTCGGCCAAATAGATTTCGGCAAATTTTTTTTAGGGTGTCCCAGAATTTATGAAAATAGCTGTAATTTCAGCCAAATTCTTATCAATTGTCCCAGAATTAATTATAACAGCTGTAAACTCGATTCTTCCGAAGCAATCAGTTTTATTAAATCCGATTCTTCCGAAACAACAGGTTTTATTACAGCTGTTCTCATAAATTCTGGGACAATGATAAAAATTGCCCGATGATCATTCGGCCGAATTCGAAAAGTCAATTTTGAATTAGAAAAAATAAACCCCGATTTTATATTCGAATCGGGTTAATCCAGATTCAATTCAATGAAAAGAATTTCTAAAACTTGATTAATGATTTATTAATTTTTAAAAATCTTTATTCATTAGTAAAAAGAAAAAAAAATAAATTAAAAATAAATAATTAAGAAAAAATAAATAAATAAATAAATAATAAAAAATAAATTAAAAATATAACTTATAATTAAGACAAAATAAATAAATAAATAAAAATTAAACTCCGGCATTACGGGGTCATTGTCTTTGGCTCCTGAGTAAGACCACTTCCTTAAGGAGGTTTGTTTGATTTAACATTTGTTTTAAATATATCATTTATTAATAATGGTTCAACCTTTTAAAATAGCGATGAATTCTATAAATCCAATACTCACTTTAAAACATAGAATTTGTTCAACTATATGGTCCAAATTTTTTATTTCATATGCCTCATCTGGGAGACAAAATAAATAAATCCCATCTACAAGATAGGTTATATCATGATGATGCATAGAGTAGAAAGTGAATTTTTTTTCTATAAAAAAGAATATTAAATAATAGTTACAAAATATCACCACTAATTATAAATAAAATTAAAATATTTATAATTCACCACAATGTCATATGTTTCTACAAATTTAATTTTATTGGCATCTACATTCTTATTTTTTAAAACTTTTTGCAATTTGCATAGACTTAATTGCATTGCTATTATTGAATTTTATAATATTAACATATAGTATTAATTTATATTAACATATACTGTATTTTATGAACAACATATCCTTCAGTACTTTAGTTATATTGTGTTTTTCTTTTTTAATATCTTTTGTGAAGGTGCTGCTAATGACTTCAGCAATGCATATACAGAATTTCATATTCTCTATTTTCATCTTGTAAGTAATGTCATACTTTTATACAATATTGCTGATTTGTTCTTTACGATCATCATTAGAAATCTCTTCTCTATTAAAAAAATAATTAAAGTTTTATTAGCCCAAATCTAAAGGTGCATTGATTTATATTTTTAAAAATAGTTCTTTAAGGGTCAATGTCAAAATTCTAAAAATCAAAATTCCAAAATTTAATTGTTATGTCACGTGATGTCAGATTCCAGAATTCAAACTGTTTGAATACTGGAACCCAATATCACATGATGTGACAATTAAATTTCAGAATTTTAACTTTCAGAATTTTGATATAGACCTGTTCTTTAAACATTTAAACATATATAATGGCTTGAATATTTCTTAAGTCAATAAATGAATTGCTCAAAAGGCGATCCACAATAGCACTTCTGTATACAAGCTCCTTGAAGTCAAAGCTAATAAGAGAATTGTATATCTTCATAAAGCAAGTAATACTGCAAAAAAATTAATATCCATATAATATTTATAAAAAAAAAATTGAGATTATATATATGTACCCAAAGGTACATGTACCCGTATCATGTGATATATAGATTGCCACTAAAATTCAAGATCAGGTGTAATGTTACACGATCAGAAAAATTCAAAACAAACGTTCATTTTGACAAAAATCACTCATTACGCAAGAAATTGTATACTAAACCACCTTTTGTGTATTAATGAAAAGTTTTTCTTGAGTGATTTTACTATATAATAGTCTAAATCCTAACCTTAACATAGTTATTACACTAACTCTAACCTAAACAATACTGGTATTACC